AGAAAGCGTCCTTGATATCCAAGGTCATGGCCACGAAGTTAGTTGGCGCACACGTTGAGCAGTTGGTGGGTCATCATCTTCGGAACGATCGTCACAGTTGAATTGCCTCGCAACAAGTCTCGCTCTACGAAACCATCGACCTTGTTCCAGTCTGCGTGTATTTCCAAGTGTAGACCATCCTTGTTGATATGGTGTAGCCAGCATTTGCAATCATTTCTTCAGCGGTTGCTTCTTCCATGGCAGGTATGCTCAACATCCGCTCGATGTCTGTCTTGGTTGCGTCTTTGTCCAAAGCTTCCAACTCTTCTTGCGAAACTTCAGGAGGGTCTGCATCTTCATCACCTCCATAACTGCATTGTAGTTCTTCGCTGGAATGTGCTCGAAGCCAGTCTCCTCGTCACCGTGTACCTCGATGCCTTGGACTCCTGCGTCATGCGGTGGGCGCAACCTTGCCATCTTTCCACCTGGCGATCCTTCTGTCGTATGATCTGCTGGTCTTGTCCTGCTGTCTGAACTTCTCTCCTCAGGCAGTGCTTCATCTGCTTTTGAAATCATTTCATCTGTTTCCTCTTCTCTGTCTCCTCCTCAACTTCAGGTTCTGCTTCTCGCTTTCCTGCTGCCTTCCTTGGTGACTCTGTCGCGTCTTGTCTTTTGACTTCTCTCTCAACTTCCTCTCCTGCTGCGCGTTGTCTCTTCGCCGATGGTGTTGGCAACGCCGGTGTCACTGGCGCTGCCGCGCCAACGCCCTGTTGATGTCCACCACCATGAAGACCTGGCGCTGGAGTCGCAAGGCCAGCTGCCACCGTCTGAGCAACGTTTTCCAGCTTTTCTGGTTGAATCTCAGCCTCAAGCGTTGGCCTGTCCACCACGGTTGATGAGGATGTCTTTTGGTGAGTATGCCCACGGCAGTCCTCTACATGTGATCATAGCTGGACCACTGAAAGCTTGTTCTGGAGCAAGTCTTCGAATCGTTGTTGCCTCACACGCCCCTTCAGGCATCAGCGCAATGTGGCAGTCGTTGAAAGAGTGTTGGCCACGGTGGTCACACCAGATGCCCTGCCCGAACACGTTGGAAGCTGTGCGGCGACTTTCCTCGATATTCATGTTCTGTTGCCAGCTCATAGCTTGTTCTTCCAACACCTTCAACCGCACGATATCTGCTGATAAGGAAAGAGGCGCGCTTGAACGTCATGGGAAAAGGTGATTGTCTCCAGTGATGGGTAGCCTTGCACGCTCTTCTGCAAAGGTCCTCAAACAGTTCGCCAATCTCCGGACTGCTTGGACTGCCCTCTCAACCAGCCCATTGGAGGCATGCTGTCCTGCTCGTGTAAGTCGACAGTCTGTTTGCAGACCCATCACCTTCCTGACTTGTTGGACGGACCTCAAGATCTGTCTACAGTCGCCCTTTCTGAGTCTGCTTGGAAAATACACTTCTCTCTGCCAGCATTCTTGAAGGAAAACCGAATCACTTCTTCTGTGACCTGATTGAGGCGCCGCGTGGGTGGCCTTGGTTTCGGTCGACGCCGTGATCGAACAAGTGCTTTATTGATCTTGCCTCTCTTCAACTCGTCCTTGCGTCGGCTCCTCCATACGACCGTCTGGACCCGTGTAGGTGTACATGAAGTCCAACTGAATGATGGCAGTTCCAAGATCTGGCTTTGATTCCTGAGGAATGCGTTTGTCTTCCTTTGCGCTTGCGGCCATACAAGCTTGACACCATAGAGCAAAGGGCCAATGCGTCATAAAATCAAGCTCTTGCTCTGGAAGGGACGGTAACTTTGGCTGCCCCAAAGTCAAATGTGTCCTTTGCTGTTCTTTGAACAACTTGTTTGCGATGCTCATTTGCAACTTGTGCTCAATGTCCACCTTGAAGGCAATCAACCTTGTCAGCAATCTCTTCTTGCTGCCGGCGTATGGCAATCCTCTCTCCTTGCATGCTAGTTGAAGCTCCTTCATGGTGTTCTTGTCGTTGCCTCTTCTCCCTTCTCTGCCACCTAGATCTTCTCCACTTCCTGAGCTTCAATCTGCTCTTCCAATTCTTCTTCTCTTTCTTGTTCCTCCTCATCCATCTGACCATTGGATGCGCCTGATATCCCCTGTTGCCTCTGGAGTACTGGCGCCTCTGGGTTCGGTGCCCAGGGAGAAAAGAACCAATGCTTGGCGCCTCTGGGTGTCATATAGACGGCAACTGGATCACTATGTGCCACCGCTCCATATCGATGCCAACCTGGTACCAAAAGGTCCGTGTTACTTAGGCCAGAACAGTTACTTATAAATTACTTACAAACTTACTTATACTGACTTATGACCTTACTACTTAGACCAACTTATAACCATACTTATAAGTAGGCTAAGTAGAGCGCAGGTGTTTGACAAGAGCTTGTTTTTTAACTTTTTTACTTTTTTACAAAACCTGTTTTTTTGAGGTTGTAAATTGTTATGTTTTAAGAATTTTTTTGTAAATCCTGGGTTTTTTCATTGTGTGAGTGCTCTTCTAAAACCATCCCTGTTTGTAGACCAAAGAGGGGCGAGGCAGCCGCCTGTTGAACATGTCAGTTCCTACAGCGGTGACACCGCCACCTAAAGCGGACACACCGCCAACCCCACATAATTAAACGCAACAGCGACAAAACAAAGCGGTGTGTGGGTCAGCGTGGTAATTCTTTTTCACAGCAAGGTATAGTGAGCACATCATCGTCCCGTCGCCACCACGGAGGTAGCGTCCATGACTCGCTCAAAGCAGGCGTGAACAAATGGGACTCTTGGCTTTGCCAAAACGCGTCCCCAGTTCCGTGACTTCAGGCACTGCAGCTTCTTCAAGTCTTCAACCAAAAGCTATATGCGGTTTGCTCTCCAAAAACGATTTCCTCCACCACACCAGCAATACCAACGGCCTAGAGAGAGCTTTCCTACAGAAACCGAGGCAATCAAGAAACAAGGGAGTTCCTTTTTCCTTTGGTGAACGCTCAATGTGGCCAGACATCTGACGACTACATCTGACGACACTTGACCTCACCCTGACTACACACGATGTCAGAACGAAGTCAGGCCCGACGACACCCTGACGACACACACGATGTCAGAACGAAGTCAGGCCCGACGACAACCTGACGACACACGATGTCAGAACGAAGTCAGGCCCGACGACACCCTGACGACGCACGATGTCAGGACGAAGTCAATATGTTTTTAATTGCCCGACGACATCTGACGACGCACGATGTCAGAACGAAGTCAGGCCCGACGACACCCTGACGACACACGAAGTCAGAACGAAGTCAGGCCCGACGACACCCTGACGACACACGATGTCAGAACGAAGTCAGGCCCGACGACGCCCTGACGACACACGATGTCAGAACGAAGTCAGAAGGAAGTCAGACGATGTCAGGCCATCACTACGGGCAGGCTCTCCTTTCAACACCAATCTCGGAGATTGCACTTCCTCCCATTCCTTTCTCTCAACACACGCCCACGTGTTTCGCAGATGCACGCGAAAGGGTACCCTTCTTTCCTTTCCTCCCCTATCTTTTTTCCATTCAAACCCGGCCGAATGTTACAAACCTACAGCGGACACACCGCCCCCCTAACCTATACTTACAGCGGACACACCGCCACTTATAACCTCAACTGCGGTCTCTCACAGCCATCTATAGATCGAATTCGCCCGCAGCGGGTACACCGCCCAACAAACGCTTTTCACCCTGTTCATATAGGGCTCTCTGTCTGTGTCTGTATGTGTGTGCGTAATGATGTTCACGTCTATAGAATTTCTTTTATGTTTGCAACAGCCCGCAAAAAACAAACTACAGAATGGAATATCTTATGAAACTTTGCCCACTCAACTAACCCTCAGCAATTTCATATCAAGGGGCTGTAATGTTGACATTACGCTGTAGACTGCTAATTCCAGCGTTTTAATCAAATCCACACACAAAAACCTTAAAAAATCAACTTTTTCATGACATTTTAAAGAAAACCATGAAAAAACTTTGAAAAAATTAGGTTTTTGTAAGTAGGCTAAGTGCGCCCCTAAGTAGAATAAGTAGGTTTTCGCTTCCGTACGTTACTATTCCGACTTATAACTGACTTATAAATGACTTATATTTTTTGTATATACACTGTATCTAGCGTAAGTCTGGCCGAATACTTATGGACACTTAACCCATTTACCATCACATATAACCTTACATATCCACACATATAACCTGACATATCCAAACATATATCTACGATATGTAAGGCGGACCTTGTGGTACGAACTCCAGCTCCTGCACGTAGCGGTTGAGACAGCCACGCAAGACCATCACCCTGCTCTCTTCGACCTCCTTATTGTTTTCCTGCTTAACTCCATTGATCCTGGCTTCAAATTGAAGCGAATGCCTCCCATTGTTGATGGGGATGGAGATGTCACGAACACCATGACATAGTTGGAGTCATTCGTCTCCTGACTGGATGCTCCATCCTTCCCGCAGCAATCTGCCAGCGCGCATGATTGGGCGCTGGACGTTCCCAAGGACGAGTTCCTCGATGATCTCGATCCCTTTGCCATTGACGTCCTTCACTCTTACCTTAGCCCAAGTTAGGCCTCGGTGCTCAATCTTCTTGCCTCTTGCGCACCCACCATGTTCAAATCTTTTGTTCCTGGCCTCCGTTCTCCCACACTGCCATAGATTGGCAGTACAGAAACATCTGCACCGCTGTCAAAGGTCACAAGACACTCCTCTTCGTCCACTTCTTTCATGCTGACCATCTGGACCATGTAGAAAGCGGTCTCCTCAACTTCCACCTCTTGCAGGTCCAACACCACGGTAGGAACTCCTCCGCGTGCCAAAAATGCCGGCTCTAGGCCCAGGCAGTCATAGAACACCTCCTCCTCATAGCTCTCCTTCTCTTGTACCAGCTGTGCTCTGATTTCTCAAAGTCCTCAGCCAGTCTTACCGTCTGACTCCTCCAAGGGTGCCTCTCAATGTCTGCATCTGCGCGTGTAAGTCGAAGACTGGAAGACGTCAGCGCAAGGAGGATCGGGCGGTGTTGCAACGCAGACCATCTTCACAGATGAGGTCCGTGCGGCGCCACCGCCTGTGTGACCTGTTGATGAACTTGATGCTCCACCCGGATTTGGCTGATCCTCAACTTGTTGCACCCTCTTCCAACAATCTTCGGCGTAGTGTCCCTGCTTTCCACAAACATGACGCGCACCGCTCTCCTCCCACGTGCTTTTGCCCTTCTCCTGTCGACTTTGTCCTTTCCAACATCCTTTGCCCTCATATTTGCCCTTGCCTTTGTCCTTGCCTTTGTTCTTTCCTTTTGCCTCCTTTCCTTTCTGGCCGCCCTTCTTCCCTTTCTCCTCCGACGTAGTCATCCTCCATTGGCGTTGAATCGTCTCACTGGCTCTGGTTCGAAGGGCAAGGCAATTCGAAGCTTGGCACTTGGTTGTGATGATGGATCTCCTTCTTCAACGACTCAAAAGTGGTTGCATCATCCTCCCAAAGCTGCAAATGCTGCTTCATGTAGGCCGGCCAATGTAGTTGCAGAAAAAAAACTCCCAATCGCTCCAACCTCGAAGTTCATGATCACGGCTTTCAGGCTTGAAGACATCAGGTGCTTTCAAATGTCGTGACCAAGCCTGGGTGCTCTGCGTCACCGTCAACCTCTCTAAGGCTGCTGAGATGAGTCTCAAACTCTCCTCAGCCATTCTTCAAGTTTTGAGGGTCTTGGATAGAAGCTCCTCGTGCTCCAACCCGCTCCTCCTTCACTGCTTCGCTCTGTTTAGCTCTGCCCGCTATAGGTCACTAGCTCCTAGAACCTCCACTGTGCAACGAATGCACAAATCTTGTCTCCCTGGATCTCCTCCTTCTTCTCCTCGAGCCGTTCTAAAAAGGACCAATTGCTAGGGACCACAACGACTTCCTTGCGCCAAAAGGGATGCCTTTGTCGCTCTTCCTGACTTCACCCACTTGACCTTGCCGATGTGAGTGTCACCCTCCAAGATCACAAGGTGAAAACTTCTCTTTTTCACCTTCCAGGATTTCGCGACCACACGGCTAGCAGATTCCTCTGGCCCTGGATCCTCCACCAAGGAAGAGCGTGTGGCGGTCGTTGTGCCTAGCGGGCCCCGGCTCTTACGACCGGGGCTCCGCTACCATGCAAAGCAGCGCGAACGCTTTTCCTGAAAACAGGCTTTGGGCCTAAAGTACCTAAGTGAGTTCAGGAACCTGTCATGCCAGGATGAGTGACCTGTTGGGTATGCTCTGACGTTTCGTGAAATCCTGACAAAAAATTGTAATAAGTTACAAATTTGACCCCCCAGCGGGGTCAGGCACCGTAAGGGAGTAGTGATCTTCGGTCCAAATTCCCGCCTCCAAAGTAGTGAGACGACCTCTAAGTTGATCGAGCTTCGTGTGTGCCTTGTGTGAGCAATCAACGATAGACTTGCAGCTTGGGAATCTTGTGAGAATGTAGAGTCTTTCTGACACATGTCAAAAACTTCTCCAAAGCGCAAAGGGACACAGTCGTGCATGGTATGGCAATGTGTGAACATTCTCAGCATGTCGTCTCTGGCCTGCCCGAGTTCGCTTGAATGTTTGTCGGCAGAATCGCCCATTAGCTTTTCCAAGTACTCCATTCTCTCTGCCATCGTAGCATGGTGCAAAGAACCTCAGGAAACCGTGGGTCTTGTCACAGCAACACAATTATCAAAATTACAATGTGCCCCAGCGGCAAAGGCTAAGTATGAAACTTTGGGGCTTGGTTGGATTTCCCAGCTTTTGATGGGCTTGGTCTACCTGGCTTTTGACCTTGTGTCTGACGAGTTGACAGTGTTCACAACTCGGACTGGAAACTCGGACTGGAAACAAATGCAAACAGCAAGCTTCCGACCTGCTGCAACTCTCGAGCATGGGCTTCCTGTGTCCAGCAAGCTCAACACACACACACACACACACTGACCTCTCTCAAGCTAGTGTTCCATTGAGCTTCCGGCCCTGCGGTCATCAACTTGTCCAAGCCTTGTTGTACAGCCGAACAGGATTCGCTATGGCACAAACAACACTAAACTGTGGCTCCAAGCTGTTTCTCAATGGCCTGGAGCCTTTCTTGGACGTTTCCATGAAGTTTGTCCATCCTGCAAATGAAACTCACCACATATGTCAGATCGACGCGTCAGTTGAAAAACATGTTCAACGAGTGTAATCATAACGTGGGATAAAGCCGGATTCCGCAACTCGACCGGATTCCGCAACTAGTTTGAACAATTTTGCTAAGGTAATTTGGTCTTACTTGCGACAGCTAGTACTGTAAGGACTCCGCAACTGGATTCCACAATTGGGGTTCCACAAATGAGGTTGTGTGCATACTTCCTGGCCTGAACTGTTTTGGTGTTGGGTTGAAGTCAATGGTTTTTGGAAGGACTGCTTTGACTCCATTGCTTTTTGCTGCATGCGTTGTGGAGGGAGGGGGCTGCAACCAGTTGCCGAATCTGACTTTCCAGTTTCAGAACCCCAGTTTCAGAATCTGACGGATCAATATCAGAATCTGGCTTAAGCATATAACATTGGCTTGCTACCAGTAATTATGGTTCGCTCCAGCCTGGTTGACATCTGTTCCTGCAAGCTGCCATGGAGCTTTTGAAGGTTTGAATGCGCAGCTTGCAGGCCCTGAGCATACGTTCAGACCACCGCATGGACATCAAAAAATGCGTGACTGGCTTTTCTGATAATTCTTGCTTGAGGCGCCTCAGAATGCTTGTCCGCAGACTCACCCAGGAGCTTCTCCAAGAAATCGACACGCTCACGCAGAGACTTGTGGCTGGCCTGAATACAAAGTGAATCCTCAATTTCTTGCTGGGAGCACAGCCTCAAAATCGACAAAACAAAGGCGCTGGCATCAGACTCACATGCCACCAGTCTGCCATGCCTAGGCGTGAAATTGGTTGATCTCACTGCAGATTCTACAACTCCGGCCCCAACAAGCCTGTGGAAAACCACACTACCTGGCCAAAATCACCACGATTTAACCCAACCATTCTGTACTTGTACCCTCTCCCCTTACCCTCTGCCATTTCCATAGGTGGGATGGGTTCATGAAAAAGAAACCTGCGACAAAGTGACATCAGACAGAGCTGTTCTTAAAATGCTGCTCATTCTTCCCGCCTAGGGCCATTCGTTTTGTATGATATGTCTTTACTTTCTGGAGCTTGGTCCCAGGTTAACATGTGCAGTCTTGCAGAATAACAATATATAGTATATAGTGTCGTGTGCTCTTGCGCATTTAGTTCACGCTTTAGCATCTACATGGAAGTTGATTCTGTATCGTTTGGCTGCCGCTCAACTAAGGCAGCATTGTTCAAACACTTCAGAATTTGTGACTCTATGTGACTTTGGTTTTCAACAAAAAAGAATGTCAGGCCAAAGGAGCTACAGTTGTAAATTCCTGCCCGGGTTGGGCAACATGGTCGCGCTGTTGGTTCTTGACGTTGTCAAGTTGTCCGCTTGCAGCTCTTGTCGGTCAAAAACCGAACATTTGAGGTGCACAGCATGTCACCAGGTTTGCCAACTCTAAGGACGTTGCATGGTCTCCAGTCGCGTGTGAGAAGCCTGGATTTCCTTCGAGTGGCGCTCACACGAGTCACCAACCTGAGAGCAATAAACCCGGAGAAGAAATGATGGTGCCTAAAAAGAGAACCTTTGTGCAAAGTCGGTTGAAGTGCAACAATTACCTTTAAAACATTTCAATATCAGTGAGACAAGAACCAGGAAATTACCCAAGTACTGAGCCAGCTGTTCGATGTACTTGAGGCGCTCGGCTACAGATGCATGATGGGCCTGTCATCATGCATGTGTTCAATGGTGCGTTCCCACATGCAAGTGTTGCAAGAAATATTGGTTGGTATCACAATCCAAGATAGAGACAAAGACCTCATTGGCAGCCCGCTCTCGGCCAAGTAGTTCTTTGTGGTGTTCATGCTGCTTGTCCTTGGCGAGCTTGACTCCGAATTTTCAACTCTGCGCACAACCACACTATCCAGCCACCCTTCCAAAACTAAGGGTTGCTCTCTGGCCTCCTTTTCCCGGCCAGCCAATTCTTGGATGTGGGCATGATGCCGGTCTCGTGCAGCCTCTTCGCTGAGCGAGCAGCCATATGTGTGTGAGATGGTGTGTGTGTGTGTGTGCGCGTGTAAACTGCTACTGACAAGGTGACAGGCAGTCATTTCACTTGTTGTCAAACGATAGCCGATAGCAGGGCCCTTGGGTCTGTTCCTGGTTTGAGCCAAGGAAGCTCCAGGTTCAGACGGTCAGGAAAGTTAGGACGATTTCCTGATGCAGCTGCACCTCGTTTTCGAGTCATTTCATTGAATAGCATGCGGCTAAACTCAGAAGCGGCACCATGAGACTTCATGAGGCTTCCATCTCCTACACGCGCGTTACATGTCCCACAGGATGGTTGATCCAAATAATTTCTTCATTTCTTTCGCCATGCATCCGTTGCTGACATCCGCAGCAAACAAAAGAAAAAGGATGCTTGGGCACCAGGGCGTAGGACGGAACAAGGTTTCAGATTCGACGCTGGCGTGCTGCTGCACGGATACTTTCCTTCTGGAATTCGTAAGCATGGTTCTCAGTGTGGGATATTGAGTTGTGGATGAGTTGATTGGAATAAAAAGTCCAATGCTGCCGAGGTCTACCGACACGACGTTTAAACCAACTTCTAATACATTTGCACTGCCAGGTTTATAATTACCTGCCTCGTCGTGTCATTGTCCGATGATCTGAGTATGTGCGCAGCGAGTTTCGCTCGTCTTTCATCAAGCGTCGCGCTGAAAGGTTTGATACAATAGTAGTTTCCTATTTGATAAGCCATGAGTGTAGCTGTTTTGTAACTCGCTGGTTCGTATACCGTCGGTCAACGTATGTGGTAGGAATCCGCAGGATCTTTCTGAGGCCACGTAAATGAAAAGCATCTAGTTTCTTACCAAGAGAATCAGTTAGATGAATAGTCTCAAGGCTATATAGGAGTCGCTTGCTACGGACTACTGCCAGCATCATAAACAAGAAGCTTCCATTTTGGGTGAGTAGATCTGTCTTTCCATAGGAGATCAGGCCTCAGCCAAGTCCGTTTGGTATCTTGGATTCGTTGTGAAACTTCCCTCGCTATGTTCACTGCATAGTTTTGGTTGTTGCCTAGGTATATAGCATCGTTAGTCTTTACCAATGGGGGTTGATCTTGAAAATGTATTGCTGGATCATGGTACATGTGAATAGAATGGCATTTCCCCCTGCTGATTTTTAACCCATAACGTTGGGCACAGTCTTCTAAGCGATATCAATGTTCGTTGAGGGCATTTGGGTCGGTTGAAAATAGTACAGTATTGTATCGTCGGCGTAAAAGACTGCGTCGAAGTGAACCCGGAACCTGGACATAACTTGTTCCACTTCTTTCAACTAAATGACATGTAGCAAGTTCTGATTAGACACCCCTCCACTTCTGGATGCATGGGCGTTTTCTTCAGGTTCACGGCTACTTGAACATGCTCCTCACACTCCAATGTGTGCCCGGACTGTCTTTTTCAATCTTTGTCAGACCTCTCTCTCTCCATTGGTTTCGCTTTTTCTGGGGCGCTTTGCACTTCTATCGCAGGCAGAATCTGAAGGTTCACTGCACCGTGAAGCATTCGGATCATCCACGATATACCAGTGTGCACTTGCTGGCCCCGAAAGTTGCGTTGTTATTTTCTACTTCATTGTTAAGTGTCAAGCAGCACGTTAACATCGGGCTATAAATTCTATCAATCACTTGCCTGTTTTGGTGCAAAACCATCTGACTCCCTCTGGCTACACTGTTGAACAGGAAGGGAAACCGTAGCCGACGCGCTCGTTAGATCTCGTTAGTCGTTTAGTCGTGGAACCCAGAGCATACCAAAAGGCAGTATATAAATCAAAGGCACAGTATGTATACACCGGTCGCTCCTCCTCAAGCATTCATAAACTATTAGATCCCCTTTGCATCCCGTTGCTACCGAATATTGGGGCTCACCCTAATTTTTGTTACGACTTGCTTATCTAAAATGACTGATACGACTTCCAGACCTATGCGTCAGCCTATGCGTGCCTTTTTGCTGCTAAGTGCAAGTATTTTTCACTTTCTCGGAAAGTTAGCTAAGTTGAGTCTGGAAGCCATGGTTTCAGTGCCCGTGACGAGTTTGGAATCATGAAACACTCATGATGAAAAAAAATATATTTCACTTCGTCAGAGCCCCACCATGCCTAGGCTCGCGCGTGCACATGCTTGCTGTGTGGTGTGTGCATACTTGCCTGCCGTGTAGTGTTGCCTGTGTCCCAAGCCTGTTTGGAAACGGCTGCCTGCGCAAAAAATCACAATTGCCAGAAAGCAAGCAGACGCACTTCGAGTAATGGCCCCAACAAGACATTCACCAAGAACACATAGTAATCTACACAGAGCTGTCGTTTGAGGTCCGGCGGGGGAACACTGCCAAGCGGAACTCGCGGTTGACGTCCGGCGGGGAACGCTGCCATACTGCACTTGCGGTTGAGGTCCGGCGGGGAACACTGCCATCCGGAGCTGGCGGTTGAGGACGAGGCGGAGGCGCACGCGGAGCAGGAGGAGGAGGAGGAGCAGGAGGAGGAGCAGGAGCAGGAGGAGATGGAGGAGGAAGGCAGCTGACATAAAATCTAACAACAGGTGGGGAAAACACAGAAGCACAGATCAACGCATGACGCTCTTTTCTTATCAAATGTTTCCTTTCGTTTCGTCTAGGCCCCAACAACAATCATCAAGCATAAAAAAATCAAGTCAATAACAAAGCCTCAACAAAAACAAAAGGTCTGCCATTGGGGGTGTCAGATCTTGAAGATGGAGCCGAGTCATCTTTTGGGAGGGGGGCGGGACACGTTCAATAGTTGCTTCTGGCCAGGAGATATTTTCTTTGCCGTTTTTTTATGTCGTGTTTTCTTGTTTTTGAAACAGCCTATTTAATAAATATGTGTTAATC